CAGAATTTGGCCGAGCCACTGCCGTCATTCGCTCTTTGACGGCTTCAAGCACAAGAGACACTAACTGCATGTATGTATGTGTGTGAAATGGGATTTATGCGGTCGTTGGGCCTTTCAAAAATTCGATGCTCGCATTTTTTATCATTAACCCAGTAGCAGTGTGAGCCACGTCAAAGAATGTCTTCATTTAATTTCATTTTCTTCATGCCCATAGCCGCAACAAAGAAGAATCACGCTGACAAGCAGAAAACTGAACTATGCGAAAGGAATAGCCAGCCGCTATTAATGGCGCATGTTGGCTGAGATAGCACACAGCTGCGGTCCGAGAGCAATAATACTCGAATAATGGTGACTGAGGTTTCCTGCTGATACATAGTCTGCATGAGATGCTGTTGTTGCTATTGGCTTTGGGCAAACACTGTTCATGTTGTCCTTCCATTGTCACGCCACATTAAGCAACCGAACAAGCACATTAAGAGGGTGTAGGGCGTAGAAGCGGCAAAGTAAGCAAGGGAAGGCGGGACGATGCGGTTTATCGAAGGTCGTTTGTGTAAAGCTATGCATCTAGTGCTCGATTCTATTAGACTTTCGGACAGGTTTAGCCAATAAACGCTTTTGTGTTTTCCTTTTCGCTCCACTTGGCACGCACTTTTGGGGCACAGCTGTGCGACATGAACACAAAAATCTCTATACAAATTGATTTGTGAGCGTAAGTTCAACATCTTTGCGCAACAAAACCAGGGGGGGGGGTTGTGCAGACTTTTCGAAAGGTATGTGAAAACTGGCACCTTTCTTTCGCATTTATGTTTTTGGATACGCATCATTTTATTACTTCGCTACATACCGATTTCGGCTGTGCGTGCCATTTACGGTGTATGGTTAGGATATGCTGTATTTTGGCCGGTTTGTAGCACAATACCGATGCGAAAAATTTGTTTGCATACATTCAGGCGCTTATGCCATGTATCGATTTTTTACAGTAAACATTAAAACGTGCTTAATCACATCTTCTTAAAGTATTGCTCACACTAAGTTCGGACAGCATTTGAATGCAAACGCGCCGAGCCGAGAAGCTGGGCAGACATTTGTCTTCAAGGCGAAATAGTGGCACGCGCCGGAATTCGCCCACTTTGACGTTGTCTAAAATGAGTTCTTGGCATTCACTCGTGCCGGGAGATTTGGCGACTTTACGCCTCGTTTGTTTGTCTTGAGCCCCTCCAACTGGCGGACATACTCTCGTTCACTTGGCAAATACTTGTGAGTAAGTAATGGGCAAATAAAGGACGGAAATTTCCAAGCGAACCGGCGCCGATGAAATATGCAGACTTTCATGGCTAAATGAAAACAAGCCAACAACTGACAGTTGCAGCGCGGAAAAGGAAAAAATGCCATGTAGACTCTCTCGTTTAGTTTTACTTTTATGGCTAGAACCATATTTCTTAGCTTGTCAACACTGTGTAACGGTTAACGTTGCAATTATTTATGTTACCGTGTTCTGTTGCAACAAGCGGTACTTGCGGATGCTGGGAAGGATGTCGCCCGGCGGTGGCAGAAAGGTGAAACCTAGCGATCAGGATGTTGTAATCGGAAAACCGTTATTTGTATCGCTGCCCGGGTTTGCTGCTCTATTCCTGCAGGGTAAAGGAAAATGTAAAATTAGTATGATTACATCATATCTTGTTGACTATTGAATTTAATGGGAATTTCTCAAGATGCAAGTTTTAATTGACATTTTGCTGACAAAAAGCAGCTTAAGGTGCTTGGAAGAATTATAATCTAATTGAGTAAGTGGCAAAAGTGTGGGACCACTCATTTCTTTAAAAACCGCAACTCGCTGAGCAACATCACATATAAAGGTTAATAACCGGTTAAGCTTATAGAATATAATATATAATTTTTGGCAGGAATTTCGGAAACCAGTGCCTCGGTTTTTGATAAATCGATCTAAAATTTTGCATACATGCTATTCTCCCCAAGGAATCTCGCTCAAATTGGAATGAGACCGAGTTGGATCTCCATTGGCATCTTGCGTTCTAGCACTGGACCAATGAACCTCGCGTGCGGTAAGCAGGCGCTGGTCGACGGGGCGCTACTCTGCGATTGTAAGATCTTTTGAGCTAGAGTAGAACGCAGGAGATCTTCTGAAGTACTTGCCCTTAGCAAATTTCAACTTGCCGCAATCGTAGGGTTCTTACAGTACACCTTCCGATAGGCAGTCATGCGGTAAGGCTAAAAAACTTGACGGACTTACTTTTAGCGAACCAGGAGAAATTGCAGAAACTGACATTAGAAGGCTCAACAAATTTGTGATAGACTCAAAGCGCTGTGTCGAGTTGTAAGGATCTTATGTTCTAATATTATATAGAAGTTTTAGGTAATACAAGGCACCAGTGCTCTAAGCTGTTCAAGTGAGATCCCTGATAGCATCGACCTCTTAACCTAACCTAACCCAAAAAGCTGCTTATTTGATGAAATTGCTGATCTCGGACCACTATAGCGTAAAGCGGCCATACAAACTGATCAATTAAAATCATGTTCTTGTAGGGAAACTTTTTTATTTGTGAAGTTTATTGCAGCTTCGATGTAACGGAAGTTCACGTTTTTTATTTTAACAGAAAATTTTCACATTAAAACTAAATTTCAACTATCTTTGTTGGCAACGATTTTAAATTTGTATATTCTAAATCTGTTGCCATTGAAGCACTTCAAAATGTAATCTTTACAGTCGCATTTTCACAGAATTTCATTTAGAGTCATGGTTTTTGAGCGAACTTAAATCTGACCACAAATACCGCAAGTGCCACCCGGCCATCGATAAAAGGTTTTTCACTTTATTGCCGTCAATTCGAAGCAGCGTTCCTCTTAAATGCTTTTATTGCGCTTGGAAAGCGATCAAATTTCATACCTTAAAAGCATTTTCATCGTCTATAAGCGCTCGCACTGCTTCAATAAAAGCGCAGCAACAAATGTTTATAGCACTAACCGCAATCGGATGTTGTGCACAAATGGCGCTGTTTCACGTCAGCGCGCTCGTGTGAGTGTGTGTTTTGGTAAGCGCTGTTAACGGAAGTAAGTGTATTACTTGCCTGGCCTCGGTCCATGCCACACGTTGTGCAACTTTTTTATTGCTGCAAATCGTTTGCTGGATTTGCTGTTGTTACCATTATTTTTGTAATATAACGAAATGAATCTGATATTGGACACTGTGTTGTGTTAGTATGTGTTGAGTATCACGCTAAATATTTGCTTGTCATGCTTCGCTTTGAGTGACAGTGTCCAATCGTGTATTTTTGTTTTTAGTTTTTGCTGTTCACTTGTCGCTGCAGCAACAATAAGCCGATTGGTTAGCGCTCGTGGCTGATGGTTGCATTGATTGACGTTTAAGCTGCATTGCGCTTGCAGAGAATTTAATGCCATGCTGTGGTATTGACTGGTCAACCCGGATTACAACAAAAGGTTTGAATAGGAAATTATAAGTATTTATGTGGGATTATTGATTTATCTGGTCGACACGGATTAAAAACTTATTTCGATTTTGATACGTGATATCTGTAGTTTTATTAGTTGAAATCGAGAAATTATTTTGAGAATTTCAGAAAAAGTATATGATTTACACATATATCCTTTATTATAAAAAATTTTTTTCCAGCAAAATTCTACGAATTTCTTTATAAACTAAATATTGTATAGTGAACTTTAATTAGTTTTTTAAATAAATATATTATGCGAAACCGCTAAATTACACATAATCTTAGAACGATTCACTTTTGACTTTTAATGGCCTTCGCTTAAATTTCAAAGTAATGCTTTCAAACGGAATTATAATTTGCCCTTAAGTGATTTGTGCATTAAGCAAGATGATTTGCTCATTTACATGCATAAATTTAAAGTCACTTTTTCGCATAAGTTAAAAAGAAAAAAATTATTAATTTTCCGCACAATAAAGTCGTGTTTGTGTCCACAGCTGCGAAACCCGAACGTATTCGCCGCTTCCACCTGCGCTGGCAGGTTCTCTAGCAGCTGCAGTATTCAACTGTTAGATGCACGAACTGTTTACAAAGCACTTAGGAACATATTTCAGAGGGCACCGGGCTGCCCGTCAAGACCCCGGCCGCCCAACTGCCCATCGCCTTTGTTGTCAGCGAGGTGTCCCAGAGTGTGAACATTTGTGTACAAGAACGTGCAATGTTGGTGGTTACACATATGTATGTACGTATGTAAGTGTTATATACAAGTATGAGAGTGTGCGCGGACAAACTTAGTGAAGCTGTGCAAAACTTTACAAACATTGTTTCAATAAAAAACTTCTAACTTGTTGCTTTATGCTTTAAGTGAAAGCAAAACTTGCCAACTACAGTTATGGCATGTTTGTCACAGGGACCACATTATTTTTCACGCAAACCAAAAAATATGCAACAGAGACACAACATATGCTTGTGAAATGGCAAAGGGACGTTTAGCTTACCTTTGAGAGTTGGCGTGTGCTGCTTTCCTTCCTTTGAACTTCATTTTCACTTTAATATTAATTCATTTACTTTTAGCTAAAACGCGTTTGCTGCTGCCCGTCAGTTTCTTAACCCTTAACTCCTTTTTCGCTTAGACTTTAGAAGTTTAGGAGGGTGTATATATGTATTAGAAGTAGTAGTAATAGTGGCGTAAGTCTCAGTTATAAAATCGCTGAAGGGCAGCACTGATCTTACATATATTATATAATATAATATTATACATGACTAAATACAACTGCTTGTTTCTCGCACTTACTTAAACAAACCCAATCCAGCACAGTCGATGTCTTCACTCGCCGAAAAATATTAACTTCCAAGTGATTGCATCGCAAATGAAGCATTATTGCAAAACATAAAATTTAAATCAATCGCAGACCTTTCAACTTTACACATCCCCTCCCTCCACCCATCTGCTATTGGAAATGTAATTTTCTTATCTCTCTTTACGCTCAAACTACTTCCACTTCTCGCGCCACCGCTGCGCACCAAACTTACCTATAACATAGGAGTAGCCATCCAACGTAAGCACACATTTGCGCGTCATACCGCCACCAACACCAGTTCTTGTGTGTGCAGTGCGTCCAAAAATCGCCTTATTGAAGCTGTGACTGCTGGGACTGCTGTCCTCATAGTTGAGGCTTTCACGCCGTCGCTCACTATCAGCGCTGGCCAATTCGTCGATGCCACTGCCACTACCAAATGCACCGCCTGCCGCGCCACCAATGCCACTGCTGCTGCCACTGTCAATGCTTACTACACCGTCACACGAATGCTTGCGCACGTCACGCGTTTCCGTTGCACCACCAGCGTTGCCGGCGCCATCATTACCAATGCGACTACCGACCGTTTGCGACCGCGCCCGATTACGCGTCAAATTCACTGCCAAATCTGCATTTTGCGTGTCACTCGGCACTTCCGCCAAATTTGTGTCTGCCACAACGGAGGCAGTTGCCTGCAGATTGAGCACCTTGGTGGTCTCAATGCCGCTGAGCGTTTGCGGTTTATCGCGTCGTGTTTGCGTATCCTCATTCGCTGGTTGTCGCGCGGATTCATTCAATGAATTGCTCATTGTTGCGGTCGCGCGGAGATATGAGTTCGCGCACACAGAACCTATTTTTGATTAGTTTGCGAGTCAGTGTTTGAGATGAGGCGAACGAAGTGGAACTCGTTTAAGTTATCGATACATTATCGCATAGTAATGTTTCACTTTTTCTTGTTACTTTCACCTTTTCACTAATAGCTTTTAAAAATGTTATTGAAATTTAAAGCTTTTTTAAATGCATTTCTGGCAATATTTGGCGCGTAAAAGTTTCAGCGATTTTAATCGATTTTGCGTTTTTTATTGGGTTGTATTTACGAACCATCGCTTACAATGGAAATCGACGAACGTTGCTGTTGTTGCGCGGCGTTTACCAGCTTTCGAACACCTGATGTACTTTAATTTAATGGAATTTGTTGATTTTCACTTAAATACCACGATTTTTTAATAACTTCAGTTTGATAGCACTTTATGTATTGGGTTAAAAGTAAAATGAGTAAATTTTGAAAATTCTAAAATTATAGATTTACAAAATGAAAGTAAATATAAAAGACGTGAAGTGGATAAAATTTATAATTAACCAATATAGTCGGCACAAAATTAACCAGAATAACGGGAAACAAAATATTTATATATGCAGTTTGGGAAAATTCAAATTCAGCTGTCACCGATTTTCGGCATCAAACATATCTAAGAAGCTATCTTACACACTAAGCAATGTATATATACATTCAACCGAAAGTTCATATGCGAGAGTTGTCTTTTATATTTCGGGACTAAAAAAACAACAACAAATGTTAATCAACGAAAATCGCTTTATTGCTTTTTAAAATATTCTGAATGAAGATCTATATACGTTTGCATGAGTTTGAACCAATTGTCGAAGCACTTTTGCCACTCTGATTGAGCTGTCTCCAAAACAAAATAATCTCCAAAACATGCATTCTGTACGCATCAACCGCTTCTGCAGGTGTCGGAAAACGTTGAACTCTTAGTTTATATATTACGTACGGGAATAAAAAGAAGCCATTCGGTGCCGAGTCAGAACTATACCGTGGATGACACAACAAATCGAAGTTTTGAGTGCTCAAAAATGCAGTTGTTTCAGCCGATGTGTGACAGCTTGCATTGTCGTGGTGAAGAGAGAGCCGTCTTCGGCGGTTGAGTTTACTGATTTTTTGAAAGACAACTGGCAAACAAATGGTTGTGTACTATTCAGAATTTAGTGTTCTACGTTGGTCAAGTGGTATGGTTGGGACATGTCGAACTTTCCAAATAAAAAAACAGGCAACCATTTACTTGATAATGCTTCGAGCCCCAACTACTTTTGTTGGATTCGGCTCATCTGGAAACACACATTCAGTCGACTGCTGTTTACTTTCGAGCTCATACGCATAAATTCACAATTAACCACCTCTTGCGATGTCATAGACGCGTTTCGAATCGTATTTTTTTAACGATCAAACGACATGAGCCTTTTTTTGAGCGATTGACAAATTGTGTGCTAGTCCCATTAATGCCTATAGTTGTCTCAATCTCACGATAGGTTACATGTCGAACTTACAATATCAGTTTGTCTGAACAACAACAAACAAACAAAAATTTATTTAAGTTCTTCGATGCACTTTTGCTGTGTAAATCCACGTCGAAAGTTTTAAAAAATTATACCGTTAAAATGCTCGCGATTTAATTTCACTTTTTGGCCGAGCTGAATATTTTAAGTTACTGTAAATAACACAAATGGCGCTCGTATGCCAAAACGTTCTGAGTATGTATAGCATAAAAAAAGTCAAACTTTACGATAAAGTTGTGAGTTATCAGATTGCAACACTAGGTCTGTTAAATCTCGAAATATAAAATGCAAACTACGTAGTGAAATTTTAATAAATGTATGATTGGTTTGTGAATAATATTCTTCCTTCATTTAATAGAATCGAATCCGAGCCTTGCTCAAAACACTTAAAGTATTCATTGCATCGCTATCACATGTTTTTATAATTTATTATTTTTGTTTTTGTTGTAGTCAGCTGAAACTATCCCATTTGCTGTTAACAAAATAAAAGCCAACAGATTGTGAATTTTTTGTCTCCATAAAGACTCGAATATTGCGCAGATTTATTTGGAGTGTTCCTCATAAAGTTACTCGCTCGCTTGCATAAGCCAAAACACTCATTCGTCATGCCAATACATCACTTTATCGCATCGGCATCAATCAATGTCACAAACTATCTACAATTAAATAACAGGCGTAGTCAATAAAGCGTAGCTAATAACCGTTAAGGCACTCGCTACGGAACATATATACATACTGACACACATGCAATGATATAAACATTATATGTACGCTATTGTGTTGTGTTGGATTAACACCCATTATTGTGACGCCGAGTGTGCGCCCACCTGCTGTGTGCCAGGCAATTATGGCGTTTGACGCAAAACCGCAAAGATTGTAAAAGTTTGACATTAAATTCAAATATGTGCGGCTGAAAGCAATCGCAGCCATATCTGCACTTAACATGTGCATGGCAGACATTATCAATTTATTATCAATTTATCGCGATTGTCAGCTGAACTGCCGTTTATGGAAGTCAAATGCATGGCTGAGCGTATTTTTATTCACTTCAAAGTTAACTAATTCACTATAAACTATCAAAAACGAAAAAATAATAATTTAATAGCTTCGAACTTAAAAGCATTTGGAGTTTCTCAAATAACAGCTCCCCATTTATATAGGGTGGCTGAGGCTCAAGATAACTGAAATTTATTAAAATTAAGAAAAAGTTTGATAGTTCAAATTCGTATTGCGATTTTTTGCAATAACTAAAGCTTGCAGCAATGCATGCTGATTATAACATAAAGTGCAAATCATTAAAGTGCACACACACAATATCGCAAATGCAAATTGGCACTCACACGCTTTGTTGCACAGATGAAAAATGTCAGCAGAGGTCGCCACCTCCACGAAAAGTGAAAAGCAAACGTTAGTTGGGAAAAAACAAAGCAACGGTGACAATTTGTAAACGGTTATTGCTGCAGCAGCATGTCGTTCAGTGCGTGCTTGTGCCGCATTGACATGCAACACCCACACACAGTTAACAATAGAAGCGGTGGAGCACAATATTTGCAGAAATTGGCTGTCAGACATCGGAAAAGGACACACATCCAAGTACATGCATATAGTAAAAAAAAAAAACAATACATACACATACACACACATATACAAACATATGTAGGAAAGTGATGCTGTCTGCGCTCATAAAAATTTGTTGTTTTCGACAATGATGCGCAGAGGAAAGCGAACATGTTAAAAGTGAAATGTGAAAATGCACTCATCGTTAATTTACACACACATATGTACATACGTGTGCATGTGTGCATAAGTAAGCATGTGTACATGTGTATGTTACTGTGCTTTGCCATTCATACGTAAATGTTCCGCTGCGCTTTCGCGTTGAGTGTAGTACAAATAAGCGCCAAACAAGCGGAGCAAAATTTGCAGAAAAACGAGCCGTAGAACAACGAAAAAGCAGCAGCAGGAGTATTAAAAGCCGTCTGGATGTTAGAATACACGCAACATTGGTCCTTGGACCGATTCTATGGTAAACGTCTGCTGTGAATCTGTGTACACTGTGCACACGTTTGCCACTGAGAGGATCTGCGGCGCCAACGGACATATTTTCCCCTTCACAATTATACATAAAATATGCTTTTGTTCTGTCGAATGCGTTTTGGCCATTTTCACATGCTTGCATACAGCAATTACCTGCAACATGACAAATTGTTCTAACGGAAATTTTACTCTAACCTCAAAAAGTTCACATATGCCAAACAAATTGTTATGCGAGTAAAAATGTTTGAAGTTAAAAAAAGCTTTTACGTTTATGTTGTGATATGAAGCCTTGTAGTATTACAATTTTGAAAGAAAGCAAACGATTACTAGCAGCTTTCTGCTTTCCATAGGTAACTTTAAAAATGCTTCGTGAGTAGTTTCAGTAGTTCCTTTTTTGTCAACTAACATTAGCATTGAAAAAATAAAAATTCAGTTAACTAAAGTGCACGATCTTACAAAATTGTTTTGTTAAAACCCAAAAAAACGATCACCAAAAAAAAAACAACTGTAAAATCTATTTTATATACAATTTTGTCGCTTTACTTTTTTGATAGACTGTACTAGAGCTGTTGACGCACTTGCAGCATACTTCGACTCAAATTACACTTATTCGCTTGATGCTGCTTGTAAGTGCATGTATTTATTTGCTTTAATATCTAGTGTAAATATTGTCATACAATATTAAGTACGCATACTTATGCGTGGATGAAATCTGCAGAATGCGTGTTGACACAGTACCAATACAAACAGCACTACAGCTAATCCTTTTGCCATAACAATAATAATAATAATAACAGAATTTCTTGACATCATCCGCATTGTGAACATACGACATATTGTTGTAATGGCTCTTCAATTGCCACAATCTGTGGCAGCTGTCGTTTCTATTGCAACATTTGTGGAAAATTGCAGATGACAAGTCGAGTGAGTGTACTAAAGAGAGGGAAAGTATATCAAAATATCATTGGAAGCATTGCTGTGGTTTCCTGTTGCATTTAATAAGTTAAGAAAGAGAAATGCTGCACTTGAGTACAACAAACCACACTCATACTGGATACAGATAGAAAATTTGCTGTTAGAAGACATTTTCGTGTGGTTACAATTAACAAGAAGTAAATGATAAACAAAGAATTATGGAATTAGCAGAAAAATAAATGCGGTTCGTAGTTAACTTTTGATTAGTGTTGAAAAATTGTTGTAGAAAAACTCAAGTGAATCTGCTTAGCAGCTGTAGAGAACCTTAGTTAGTATCAGCAGAGCAGCAATTTGATTTTTTGTTGAAGCAATATAAGTTTAACCAAACTTTAAATTATTGGGGAGCCATATACTATATGTTTACTCAAGCGGATTTACTGAGCTTTTTTCCACTATATATAGTTAACTCTAAACCACAACCCACATTCTTTGTCAAATTTGAACAATTGAATTTGTGTTAAAAGAAGATTTTTCAACTGTTTTTCTTTTAACTTAAATTTCATTTCGCCTCAATGCTCAACTGCAAAACTATTTGTTCTTTTTTTCAGTTTCGGTAAACACTTTTGCAAATATTCCATATTTCTACCTAAAAATTGCGCATAATTGCTTCGTGCAACAAAAGCGCAATTTTTTTACTAAACAATAACAATTGCTTTTGTAATTTGCAACACGGCACCAAAATGACATTAAAACAAATGACCGTTTGAGTTGTTGTTGTTAGCTGTTAGCTGAGTTCATGGCATGGCAGTTGTAGGCGTGATAAATGTGTGGCGCAACGGCGTACCTTGCCATACATGCAACGGCAACGAGGCGCACGAACATTCACAATTACAATGTCGTTAAAAACTCAACGTGTTGTAAATCACAACGAACAGTAAAATAAAACAACAACAACACAATAATAGAGATTTATTAAAATATGGTAAA